AGATTATATATATATATATATGGGTTATAACCAGATTTCTGAAACTGAAGAGGGTAACTAGAAAGGACACAAACTCACATTGTTTCAGATGGTCTCTACTCATATTTCCTTCCAGGCATGCTGATTGGAGATCCCAGTATACTAAATTCCTGCGGAACTTACCTGGGGTGTTTAGAGGAAATGTTTTCATACCAACGGTGCTACCCACTGCACAGCCAACAACAGCCCTTGCATTATGGAAGGTGGTAGACAAGTGAGTGCCAGCTTCCCCGAGTGGTTTAATGCTTCTTCTTTCCTAGTGCCGTTTCAGATGTTCTCACAGCATATAAGACTGGTCAGTCTCACCATTCATTAGTTATGAGGAGTAGGGAATCCAGTCTGTCCTCAACAAGCTAATAAACAAAAAGGCGCTAACAAATGCAAGAGCTATACATTATGGATGTACAGTTGTTTGCATCCAAAGTGGAAAAGGTGCTTTGGAGGTAGCTGATAGGCATGTTCTCTGCACCTATCAGCACCTCCTTTAAAAAGCTGGCTCTTTTCCTGGATTGGCACAGTAGCCACACATTCCAGTAAAATATGTGTTTCAGCTAAGGAGGCGGCAGCATGTTGTGACAAGTGTGCCACACCCTCTTGGCACCTCATTAACTCTAATGCATATTTTCTTGGGACTGTACAGTTGTCGTGCCAGCCCAGGAAAAGGTGCAGCATTTTAAAAGAGGTGATGATGAATTGCAGTGAATTATCCCACGTCCCTTGTGAAGCACTTTTTTGGCTTTGAATCCAGGTTAGCATGCAGAGTCATCACCTGTTCCCTTTCAAGGTAAGCAACATTATGCAGAATGTAGAAAGGGAGTAAGAAATGGTAAGCCAAAGAAATTAATTCATAAGTTTAGAAAACAAAATAAAGCTAAATCTAGTTTACAACAACATCCTCCATACTTTTCTGTGATGGCAATGGACTTCCATTGTGTCCTTACAGGGTTTGATACACTGACTTCTGTTCTTTAAATTTCTCACCTCTCTCTGAGGACCTCAGCAACTCCAACCACCCTTCCTATTTGACCTTCATAGATTTGCTTTATGATTTAGTTTTATTAATTCTTTCTGTAAGGCCAAACCATTTCAGTGTACTTTTATACTGATCACTCACTTTCATATTTATCACTCATTTGGCACTCATTCATTCTTGACCCTATTTCTTGTTTTATCACACATATTTGTTAAGTACCCCTTTCCTACTGCATTCAACTTACTTGTATGTTCTCTTGACATACTGAACTCCCACTTCCCTATATGAAAGCAGAAACATGCTCTTAATACATAGTCGTTCTGCTTTTTTCAACAGTTATTTCTCACCATAGACCACAAACTATCCACTACTTTTCTACCAGCATTTGCGTGGCTTAAAATTTCTTCATCCCTTTTCCCTTCTTAGGCAACTATTCTGTCAAAAGTACATAAATTCATTTACTTGCTCTAATTCTTTGCCATTTATCTATAATTGTTCTTTCTCTCTGTCCTGTCAAACATAACTTAACATTCATTTTCAGATCCATAGTCCTTGTTGCATCATACTATTTATCTAATGTTCACTGCAAATCCATTCTGGTTTTCAGCAAACAGCATGGCATCATCTGCATATGAAAGAACACATAAGTTTATGTCCCTGTTCAGCATATTATTAGTGTCACCATAAGCATTCCTTACACATTTATCCATAAATACATTATACAAACCAAAAGGATATCATACAACCATGTCTCACTCCCAGCTCAGTGCTAAACCATTTGCTAAGCATTCTGTTAATACTCACACATTTTATTTACAACTTTTTCTGTTCTGATTACATTCAGCCACCAACCTTCAACTCCATTTTCATGGAGAAGATTCTATCATTCAAACCTGTTTGCTTTATCGCTTTCTCTAATATCAACAAATGTACAATACATTTTCTCACAAACAGCACAGGACCTTTCATTTAAGAATTTTGCTAAGAATGTGTCAGTGCCCAAATCATCCTGTTCAGCTGTGATTGAGTAGGATTTTGATGAAATTTCAGTGTGGGATAGACTTTCATCAAAATCCTACTTTGGATAATCAGTGGAAAAATCATTCCTGCCTTTCCGAGCATATTTGGGCAGAGATGGACAGAATACATGACTGAATACACCTTTATATATAAATATATATATATATATAAAGCACTCTATGCACATAAAAACTGAAAGATGGGAAGAATTGTTTCTTGAGAGAATAGTCTGTTGTTATTCTACTCATTCTCAAAGTGCACATGTACCTATCATTTAAGAATTTTGCTAAGAATGTGTCAATGCCCAAATCAGTAGTGCTGTCTGGGGATAGTAGTTAGCTTTTCTTTCTTTTATTCAAAGTAGTTTTCATACTGTTTGGAAGTCAAGCTGGATTATCTGATGTCATAGAATAAGCTACATACCCACAATGGATTTGACTGAGACCAAGCTCCAATTATTATCTGGCAAGAAACCTTTAAAAAGCAGCAAATAATTTGGGGAGGAATGAAGCATGAAGGCAAGATACTTAAATATTAAAAAGAAATAGAGGGTTAGTTCAAGTTGTAATTTGAAGGGGGGCTGGTTGGATGGGGAATGAAATCATGGAACTCTATTATATGCAGCAGACTAACATTTGTGGACTTTTGGAATTTAGCAAAGACTGTGGATGTCAGTGTAAATTTATAGAAAGTAGTCTCAAGAGAGGTAGTGGAGGATAATTAAAGTCTTTTATTCCTTTCTCCAAAGAAAATTGTTGCCAGTTCTATAGCCTAGCTTTAGGCATTTCTGACCTCTGTTGACAACTGGTGGGTTAGATCGTGCCAAAGGAGATGTTAGATTACATCCTAGAATTGCCATTTTATGTTGTGTCAGTTATTGAACAGATTTTCTTCCTCTTTTGGTTAATGTTTGTGTCACAGGAGAAAATTATACATGGCTGATTTAGAATCTGCAGTGCTTTTCACCCTAAGGATAGAGGCTGCAGTATTCCCCTACCTTAGGGGACAGCGACTCTCTGCTTTGAAGGACTATGTGTCTGTTTTGGTCGAGGTGAGTGTTATGAAGCCTTTAGACCTGAGAGACTTTCCAAACAATTCTCCCTCATTCTGCACTCTTCCCTTTTACATACAGGTAGTCCTCGAATTACGTCCATTCATTCAGCAGCCATTCACTTACAGCAGCTCTGAACAAATGGTAGTTAAATCCAGTCCCCGAAGTTATGGCCATTGTGGTGCCCCTGCGGTCACATGATCAAAATTTGGGCATTTGGCAGCCCACCAACATGACAGCAGGGGTACTTTAACTCCCCCCCATCTCCCCCCATCTCTGCCCTTTTGGCTGCCCTGAGTTCCGCTGGCCCTGCCAGCCTGCTGGCCTACCCAGCCTTGCTACCCTGTGCTCGCTGGCCCTGCTGCCCCCAGATGACCTTTGCCATCTTCTTCCTGCTGCTGCTGACGAGGCGCGCCCGGCCTGGGTCTTTGCAAGGCAGCTGCTAGCCATGTCAGGCCTTCTTCCCAGGGCAGCACCCACCTCCTGTCCAAATTGTGTGTGGGCTTCTCGCAGAGGCAGCAGGGCCAATGAGTGTAGGGTGGCAAGGCCAGCAGAGGCAGCGGAGTGCAAGGGGCCAAAAGGGCAGAGATGGGAGGAAGATAGGTGGGTGGGGGGAGTTGAAAAGGAAGCAGTCCCTTACCTTACCAAGGCTTGGAGCTGGGAGGGACCAAGCTGGGAGTGGCATGGATCAGGGTGGGTTCTCAGCTAACAACCAGTGGGTTAATGACAGTGACCAGGACTGCCGGGATTACCATTGCTAAGTGATGTGGTCACGTGACATTGCGCCTTACGACCGCATCACTTAGTGATGGATGTTCCAGTCCCAGTTGCGGTTGTAACTGGAGGATTACCTGTATATATTAGCTTTTCTACAATCTTACCAGTGACTCTACTCTTTTAAAGTTACATGAAAACATTTCATTTGGAGAGCAGGTTCAGTCTTAAAAGTAATCCATAAGCTGTTCATTTGCTCCTTTCTCTAGACAAAAATTATAATTCCCTCATTAATAGAATACTAGCTCTGAACAATACTGTTTCATTTTGGTTTCTGACTTATCATGAATTTTGTGTGGCATCCCTGTGAACTTCCCTTCACTTCATGGTATTTCCTGAACTTGTGCTCCTAACACCCTGAAGCAGCATATATGGACAACTCCACAACAGCAATTAAAAGATTTTTATTACTAAACAATTTTTTAAAAAGTCTAGTTTTTAAAAAGTTTTAGGGGGCCTTTGCAAAATTCAACAATCTTGCAAACTTTCAATATATTTTTTTAATTAAAAAAGGGGGACAGGGTGCCTAGCATCTGAGAAGGTTACTTTGGGAAAATTGAGTACATGTTATGGGGGCTCCCACAAACTGGCTCCTATGGTGGGCAAGGCCAGTTACATACTGTCCATTGTCAGTAGACCAGTCCGTGTGGATGCTCCCCGCTTCCTGCTTTAGCCACCCAGGATGTTTCCTACCACTTCGGTTGATCTCTGTCTTTTTGTGGGCAGGTGGCTACCCTGCTAGAGAAAGCATTGAGCTACAGCCCCATTGTTTTCATTTTCTAAGAATGTCTCCAGGATATATGCATTCTTGGAAATAAAGATTATGCTTAAGGCTGGTAATGACAGAACTGTTCAAGTTTTAAATTTTCAGTTCTGGCTGCCAGTACCTTTTACAATTTATTTTAAATTTACTCCTATTATTGTATATGTTTGAGCAAACTTAAAACTGGGAAAAAAAAGATTCAAGCATTAGCAGAACATCACATTTGAAGATCTGCTTTGACAACTTCTAAGATGTATCTGCTGCTTCTGTAATGTGGATATGAAGGCAAATGCCTAAATGCCTTTGAAACCCTTGAGTATAGCACCAACGGTCTTCATTTTGTTTTAATTCTTGCTGTGATAGAAGGGGAATATTAGTAGTTTATGTGGATACAAAATTTATCTGGCTGGCCAGGGATTTTCATTATTTGAAGCTATAAAAATCTTAGTTGAATATAAGTGTAAAATGTGCACTATAAAGACACATGCTCTGATGTTTTAGATTCTCTGTATTCACATGGGCAAAACCTCTGTGTGGCTGGGAGATTATTAAATCTGCCCTTCAAGATTGCCAAAGGGAGGGTGTTAAAACAGGAAAAGCCAGCAGTATTTAGGTAATTTACAGGATAGTAGCCTCGGCTTTCTGATGGTTTGGCTGAACTCACACTGTAACACTGTGTCCCCAATCCACTATTAATCACCACCTTGGTTTTGATTTTCCTTCAGTCTGTAGGCATTAAAAATACCTGCCAGGTCAGAATTATATGTAATTTCTGACTTTAATTGTAGCGTAAGTTTTTGTCAACCAATGTTTTAGCTTCTAAAACAGCCCAAGACTGACTTTCTTTTTTCCCATAACCAATTACCTTTGAAAAAAGCGCAGTCCGTGTTGTATCCAGTGCAAGGTGTGCTGCTAGATTTGGGCCACAAGGTGGAGGAGTCTGACTAAGTTCCAGCTACTTAACTCATTATTTCCTTCGACTTTTTCTTGCCAGTTTTTTCCTTTCGTGAACATTCCTTGGGGTTTGGCTTCTGTACGTCCAAAATAAACCTAAAGCTTTGGAAGGCTGTATTTTTTTTATTCTATAAGCTCCCAGATCTCAGTAGGCTGCCTGCTGCCTACGAATGCTGCTACCAGTCTGACTATACTAAGTTAGAAATATAGTTCTGTGATGTTCCAATTCTTTATAAAGCAAGTCTGGCTATATATTCAGATGAGCTAGTGTGTAATCTTCAGAGAGAAGATAAATCTTTGGACCACTTGAACTCTCCGTGTGCCCATTTTTAGGAAAGGAATCGAAGAAAAATCTACTTTCTTTCATTAACATCCGTTACTGATTTATTTTAACTGCCACCCTTCCATTTATTACTGCTTCCATTTTCTCACTGAGAAACAAAGCAGGTGTTTTCCTTATATACATCCGCTCAATTAATTTTCCTGCTTTCTCTCAACTAGTTCCCCTCCTCCAGTCAACCTGTCACTTGCTTGTCTTCTAGTGACATGGCTTTTCCTCTGTGTTTCTCCTCCCCCCCCCCCCCCACCCGTTGGTGCATATAGCTCTTTGGTTCCCCCCTCCCCCTCTCTGGAGTGCTTGTGGTTTTAAAGTGCTGATGCTAATCGGATTTGAGATGACTTATTGTCAAAGTAGCTTTCCGTGATCCTTGGAGACTATTTTGGAGCTACAATCAAGATTTGGATCTTGGCTGTAAGCCCATAGGGACTGACTTGTTTGCTATAGCAGCCTCTTGAACATCACTGAAAAAAGCCTCTCTTAGTATTAGCAAGTAGTGGCTGAGCTGAATTTGGAGAGGAATCCCATTGGAAAACAGGAAATGAACTACTGAGCTTGCAGGGTGACTAGCTGTTCCATGTTTTCTATGTTCCTCTTTCAAGTGCCCTCAAGATCTACCACCAATAACTGGACAGGCAGTGCAGGAAGATAAATCAGTGGCTTTTTCAAGGATCAGTTTCAGCAGACTTGGAGCTATATACAGTAGGAGACAAGGGTTGGTATTGGCTCAGATTACTTGCTGTTCCTGATTTGTGATCTCTCTGTGATTAGGCTTACAGATGTTCTTGCATTGGTGTTAACAACATTAAGCTTTTGGTGCTAAAGAATGTCAGTGTCTGTGCCAATAACTCTTTGGGGGAAGAGTTCATGGTTGTAACTATGATTTTTTTTCACAATGCTTTGAGCCTTATGTGTGGTATAGTTCGAATAAGATGGCACTGATTAGTGGTATCTCAGTGATTTTGTTGTAAGAGAAAGATTGCTGCAAGGTTTAGACTTCAGTTGTCTACTATGGCTTAAACTGGCTTATTTGTCAATCCTCAGTCTGATGGAGCCTAATGGGTCTTCGGTAATTTCCTCTTAACATGCTTAGAGCTTCTATCAGAACCCTGGATGGTCTCTGGAATAAGAACACGCTTTGGGCAATAGATATGAACCTGGCTAAATACCCTTCCTATCCAGGTATTTCATATGCTACACTTATTGGATATGAAATACCTGGATGAATTCTACTCTCTCTCTCTCCTCCACTAGGGAAAAGGGTCATATAGTGCTATTGGTTACTCTGGTACCTGCATATGTCCTACCTGGGACAGAGGTGTTTTTTTAATATTGTTTTTTTAAGAAACTGAATTCTGTATGCCATCCAATGTATTCTGTGCTGTCACACCGTGGCACCATACACGTAAGCTCAGGCATGTCTTTCAGAACTTGACTCCGTCTACACCTCTTAATATTTTTCTTTCCATTCTTGTTTGTATTTTTATAACAGCATTTTGCTGGGCGGTCGGTAGTCAAGAATTACCTTCGCAACCTGGATTTGTGGCTGAGACCAAAGAAAAAAGTTTTGCAGAGTGAGTGGGAGGAAGCTCTAAGGAATAAAAAGGAGGTACGTTAATTGAACAAGGAAATGTGTGGAGGGGAAGGGGGTTTACTGACCCAAGTCTGATTGGATTCAGTGCAGATCTAGAATCTACCCAGAAATTCAGCGTGCACGCATGCCATAAATAAATATAAAATACCTGCTTCATATTGGTAGTATTCTGTCTCCAGAGCTACAAGCTCCATGTGTAACTTGCTAAATGCCAGTAGCTCTACCATTCATACTGATCATTATCACATATTATGGAGCTGTCCCAGGATCTAAATTTATTGTAAAAGTATATTGAATTTCATTAAGTTATATGAATAGTGTAAATATTTTCTGTGATCCGCATGCCATTCTGTTTCAGAGTTTCTTGAAAAAACAGATACTGCCTTTGCTGTTGTTGAATAGCTTAGAAAATAAGGAATTAGTGCTTTTAATGAACCTGACATTAATAAACAATTCCTGCATTGATTGGGTATCTCATACATTTATTGAGAATGGAACAATGTTCATAATAATTTAGGATTATAATTAAGGCAGAGTATTATGCTGCATTATTTTTCTCTATAAGTATCCTTTTTAATATTCTTTACCTCTGTTTAATTTTGTGTACCATAAAAAAATACTCTCCAAAGTATTGGATATGCAAGTGGCCAGCATGGCATAGAAGTTAAGATGTTGTACTGACACTGAGGAGATACAGGTTCAGGTCCACCTTCAGTCACAGAAGCTTACTGGGCAACCCTAGGCCAATCACTTTCTCAGCTCAGCCTATCTCACACAGTTGTTGTTCTGGGGAAAAATAGGAGGTTGGAGTACTGTGGCACTACCTTGAGCTTCTGAATGAAGGGTGAAATATAAATCTAACAATTAAATAAAACATAATGCATGGGGAAAATCCTCACCGCTGTATTCTAACCTTCCACTGAGGCAGCCAATGGTCACTTTAATTGTTATTTTGTTATTACATTGATGTTTTCACACTGTTCACCACCAAGAATTGCTTGTGTGAGATGGGTGGCAATGAATGAATGAATGAATGAATGAATGAATGAATGAATGAATGAATGAATGAATGAAT